AGTTGCTTTATCACTTTCTCTGTCTCTCTGGCAAATATATATGGCCAGAAAAAAACTTAAAAAGGAAAAAGAAAGAGGTTGCTTTATCACTTTCTCTGTTTGTCTCTCTGGCAGGTATATATGCCCAGAAAAAAACTTAAAAAGGAAAAAGAAAGAAAGAAAGAAAAAATAGAAGAAATAGCGTTGAGTTGTTGGATATAGTAAACTCAGTGTTACATACTAATTTGTTCTGGTCATTAGCTATGATTATTATTTGTATCTATTTATTTTTTGGGGGAAGTTTTTGCTGTAGGGCGCATGCACTCACCAAGAAGACAGACAGAGACAGAGAGACAGAAAGCGAGAAATCACCCCCCAGGGAGGATGGCCACGCCACAATCCCTTCTCCTCCATTCTCCTCTCGGGATCTTGGGCACACACGCACATGCGCCCGGCGTAAGTTTAAGCCACCAGGTCCAGGACTCAAACCGTGGTCGACTACATGGGAGTCCAGTGACATAGCCATTACTCTAACTGCTGGTCCCAGCAATTGTTATTCTTATTGATCACTATGGGACTCAGCATGAGTTTCCAGCCTCTCACAGAGCCCATGTCTGCATCTGGTTTTAATTCTCACTATACATCAGAGACTTCAAGGACCCCATTGAGTGTGATTTCTTCCCAAAAGCGTCCCTTTCCTTGGGTTAATCTCTGCTTTTTTCTTTTTCTTTTTTTTGGAAAGGTTTTTTCGCTATAGGACGCGTGCACTCGCCAGCCAGATAGAGAGAGACATAGAGACAGAAAGTGAGAAATCACCCCCCAGGGGGGATGGTCACGCCGCAATCCCTTCTCCTCCGTTCTCCTCTCGGGATCTCGGGCACACACGCACATGCGCCTGGCGTGAGTTCTAAGCCACCGGGTCCGGGACGCGAACCGCGGTCGACTATGTGGGAGTCCAGCGACATAGCCATTACGCTAATTGCTGGTTCTCCAATCTCTGCTTTTTTTCTATGGGCCAGAATATTTACCTCTATCTCCTTATAGATTTGACTCTTTGAGTATGTATTCTCCAATCGCTTCTTTTTTTTTTTGGAGAGATTTTCACTGTAGGGTGCGTTCGCTCGCCAGACAGACAGAGAGAGACATAGAGACAGAAAGCAAGAAATCACCCCCCAGGGGGGATGGTCACGCCGCAATCCCTTCTCCTCCATTCTCCTCTCGGGATCTTGGGCACGCACGCACACGCGCCCGGTCCAATAGCTTCTTTTATGTTTGCATTACTGCCCTTAAATAGATGGGAGACTTTCTGTGGGTAAATGGAAAACATCTGACTTCCTTTGTAGCCCCTGAAGCGTGTAGTAAAAATGCTGTGTGTTTGTGAGCACCTTGTTGAAAACATATACTACCAGCAATAATGAACAAATACACCTTCAGTTTTCATCGCATCGGTATAGTTTCTGCCTTTCTTCCTTTGTCCCGACCTTAGAAAAGAACCTGCTAAAAAAAAGATCAAACTTGACATAAATTTCCATAAAGTATGAATGCCGTTTTCTTCATTTGAAGGTAATTTTTGATGGCGAAGAAGCAGTGGATGCTGGTGGTGTTACAAAGGAGTTCTTTCTCTTGCTGTTAAAAGAACTGTTGAATCCCATCTATGGAATGTTTACCTACTATCAAGATTCCAATCTCTTGTGGTTTTCCGACACGGTAAGTTAGTGATGTCCCGGTTATATAGCTGCGTGGACACAAGCTCATGGCCAGTGTGGACAGCATGGCGAGATCCTGTCTGAGAGAACCGGGGTGGGACTGCACACCTGTAGTCCCACAGGAGGATGCCGACATAGCAAGACTTGTCTAAAACAAAACCCCCGATACTGGCTCATCAGAAAAGTCAGGACATATTTTTCTATACAAAAATGCATCATGACTTTTCCGTCACCCCAATAGGTGGGATTAAATTTCCTTTTTGTTATCAGATCAAGCCCCTGACTTTTCTTTGCAAAGGGGAGCACACACAGATAGTAATTTAAAGTGTCTACCATATCTGGTCTTCGTTCGCCACCTCTGGCCGAGACCTCAGAGTGCATCTTATCAGCAATGAGCCTATTTCTATTTCTAGTAGGTAAGCTCCAGGTCTTGCTCTCTGTGAAGGGAAAAAGGACAACGGTGTGATGAAGAAATTTGTTTTATGACCAATTATGACATTACAAAATCAGTCCAACATATCTGACTTATTTTAATAACTATGATATGTACATGAATGTGCACACACACACACATTTTTTAATAGGTATTTTGTCCTCCCAGCTTTATTTATTTTTTAAAAAGCATTATTTAATTTTATTTGTTCATTCATTTAATTTAATTTGACCAGAGAGAGACACAGACAGAGAGAGTGGGAAGGTGAGAAAGCAAGCCACTAAGTCTGGAATTTGAATGTGGTCAGGCATGTGGGAGTTTCCACGCCTTAACCACCACACCACCTGCTGGCCCCCACATGTACTTTTAAAAACTTTATTTTATTTAACTTCACTTCTTCTTACTATTTTTTAATTTGATCAGAGAGAGAGAGAGAAAGTGAGAAAGCAAGCCACCAGGTCCAGGAATTAACCGCGATTGGCCGTGTGGGAGTCCAGCGCCCTTAACCACCACACCTCTTGCCAGCTCCCTACACACATATACTTTATTTTTGAATATTCAGTAGGAGAGCTAAGTTTTAAAAGGCATGTTAATTCCAACCAGACTATAATTTAATTTTTTTTCCTCCCAGAATTTTTCTTAGTTTGCACTGTCTCAGAAGGGAGCTCATAGCTACTGGGTTGTTGGAAAAGTCATGATATATTTTTTGCACGCATCATGACTTTTCCAACAACCCCATACATGTGGCTATTTAAGTTTAAATTTTATTTAATTAAAATAATATTAAAGCCGTATTTACTAGTGATGTTATAATAGCCACATTTCACGTGCTTAGTAGACACAGGTAGCTAGTGGCTTCCAGATGGGACAGCACAGAAGCGAATGTTCCGTCATGTCAGAAAGTTCTGTTAGATAGCTGTGCCCTAGACAACCATGAGCTGTTCTACGAGGTGAGTGTGAGTCTTAACTTGGTATTTCCTCTTTGGGGGATAATCAGACTTTCTTCAGGGGAGCTTCTCTGCTTCAGAAGGTAACTAAACATAAATGAAATCCTTATTCGTTTATGCTGAAAATATTTTGAGGTAAATGGTAATGTTTCGATTGCCGCAAGCCCTCCCCATCTTTTTAACGCATTTGTGTATGTCCTGAAAAGTGTTTTGTAGAGCACAACTGGTTTCACTTGATTGGCATAACCTGTGGACTAGCTATCTACAACTCCACCGTGGTTGATCTCCACTTCCCGTTGGCTCTCTACAAGAAGTTACTGAACGTGAAGCCTAGCTTGGAAGACTTAAAGGAGCTGTCGCCCACTGAAGGAAGGTACAAAGCTCGGACCAGGCAGACCGGGGTGGGGAATGGTACCGGCTGCCCCTGGCACAAGGATAAAAAGTTAAAACGACAATGTACATAAGTTAGAGTTTATCGATCCTGTGTTCAGAGTCTGTTGTGTGTGCCTTGTCTGAAGATATGACTACACAGCTACTTGCTCGAAACGTTGCCTATGTCACCATAAGGATAGAGGGAA